ATTTTTTTCTTTGTTTCTGTTGCCTTAGGTGTTGTATCAGTGAAAATTCTGCTGTGTATGATGTCTGAGATTTTGTTTTCTTCTAGAATTTTTATGGATTTGTGAGTTACATTTAAGTCTTTTATCCATTTTGAGTTTATTCTTGTGTATGGTGTAAGTTGGTGTTCTAGATTAATTTTTTTGCAAGTAGCTGTCCAGTTTTTTTAATACCATTTATTGAAGAGACTTTGTCTCCACTGAATGCTCTTGCCACCTTTGTCAAATATTAATTGAGCATTTTGTCTTGGGTCTATTTCTGGGTTCTCTGTTCTGTTCCACTGGTCTATATGCCTGTTCTTGTGCCAGTACCAGACTGTTTTGATTACAGTGGCTTTGTAGTATAACCTGAAGTCTGGTAATGTGATCCCTTCTACTTTCTTCTTCTTTTTTTCAAGATTGCTGTGGCTATTTGAGGTCTTTTTTGGTTTCATATAAACTTTTGGAGTGTTTGTTCTAGTTCTGTGAAGTATGTCGTTGGTATTTTGATGGGGATTGCATTGAATCTATAGATTGTTTTGGGTAATATGGACATTTTAATGATGTTAATTTTTCCAATCCATGAACAAGGCATATGCTTCCACTTTTTTATGTCTTCCTCTATTTCTTTTTTCAATGACGTAGTTTTCTGTGAAGAGTTCCTTTACTTCTTTGGTTAAATTTATTCCTAGGTATCTTAATTTTTTTTGCTGTGATGTTAAATGGGATTGTCTTTTTAGTGTTTCTTTCTGTGATTTCGTCATTGGTGTACAAGAATGCCGTCGATTTCTTAGCAGGACCATAACTCTTAAGCAACTGAGCTACCTGGCCAGGGCAGTGATTTTCAAAAGAGGGTGGGAAAAGTATTCAGGGTGGAAGGGACTTTTCTTGTTTCAAAAACCATAAATCAATAAATATTTGGTATTTAAATATATTATTTGAAAAACGTTTCCCTTTTTTTTTCTTTCTTAAAAAAATTTATTTTTTTTATCCTCACCTGAGGATATTTTTCTCTTTATCTTCAGGTAGAGAGAGAGGGAGAGAAAGGCAGAGAGAGAGGGAGAAACATTGATGTGAGAGGGATATATTGAATGGTTGCCTCATGACCTGGACCAGGGCCAGGGATGAACTGCAACCCAGGTACGTGCCCTTGACTGTAATCAAACCCGGGACTCCTTGGTTCATGGGCTGACGCTCTACTGCTGAGCCAAACAGGCTAGAGCTTCCCTTTTTTTCTTAAAATAATAAAAACTACTCAATAAACTTCACCAAAATCTTGTTTGACGGAGTGATTTTTCAGTACTATGTGAATCAGAGGATTGCTTCTGAGTATGTGAACATACTTGCCTCTCAGGGGTCCTGAAGGCAAATTAGATTTTTTTTTGATTGGAGAATTTTATTTTCATCTTTATTGTTGAAAGTGTTACAAATGTCCCGTGTTTTTCCCCCCATTGACTCCCTCCTTCTTGCTCCCATCCCTAGTACAAATGAGATTTTTAAAGTAATCACAAGAAATGGGTTTAAAAACAAATAAGATTGAGAAAAATGATGTTAGGGTGAGAAGCACAAAGAACCAGAGACGAAGATTTTCGGTGTGGCCAATTAAAATGTTTTGGCTGGGTGAGAAATGAGGATCAGAGGCTTGATTTAGTTAGTGGCTCTTCTTGTTATTGGAGAGAAAGGACTGACTTGAGAAATATGTAAGTGGTTGCAGTTTGGGACTGAATAAATGATGATTCCCTGATTTCTGATTTGGGCACTAGGCCATTCAGTGAGACTGGAAATATCTTTTTGGTAGCAAGTTTGGGAGGATGAGGTGGGGTAATAAGAATTTAGTTTAGAAAAACTTGGGTTTGCGTCGGCCTGCAGTCCTGAGAGACCCGGGTTCGGTTCCCGCTAAGGGCGCGTACCTCGGTTGCAGTTTGTCCCCAGCTCTGGTCAGTCGTGCGGGTGGCAGCCACTCGATGTGTTCCTTTCATGTTGATGTTTCTCTCTCTCTCTGTTCCTTTCTCTCCCACTCTACCTGAACAAAAAATGGAAAAATGTCCTCGGGTGAGGATAAAAAAAAAAAAAAGAAAAAGAAAAACTTGGGTTTGAGGTATTACTGAGGCATCTAGGTGATACCAGTATGTTGTTGATTATATGGATCTAGATCAAGGAGAATAGACTGTGCACATGATTCCTACTTTTGAAAATAACATAAATAAAAAACTTAATGTCTCTCTCTTTTTCTACAATGAGAAAGCAATTTATTTATTTTTAATCTTCATCTGATAATATTTTTTCATTGATTTTGAGACAGAGTGGAAGGGAGGGAGAGGGGGAGAGAGAGAGAAACATTGATGTGAGGGAGAAACATTGACTGGCTGCTTCCTGCATGGCCCCTGGGTCTGGGGATTGAACCTGCAACCCAGATATGTGCCCCTGACCTGGAATTGAACCCACGACTCCTTGTTCTACAGGCCAGTGCTCTGACTGCTGAGCCAAACCAGCCAGGGCTTGTTTTCTCTTTTTTAAAAAAATTCTCACCCAAGGTCATGCTTACTGATTCTAATATGTTTTTATTGATTTTTTTTTTTTTTTTAAATAGAGAAAGAGTAAGGGAGAGATAGAAACATCATTGTGAGAGAGAGATAATTGATTGGCTTCCTTCTGCACGCCCCCTACTGGGGGTAAAACCTGAAACCCCAGGCATCTGACTGAGAATCGCATTGGGGCCTGTTAGTCTGTGGGATGATGTTCAGTAACTGAGCCACACCAGCTAGGGTGGATTTAGATAACTTTATATAGAAGTCTGACTCCTAGTTTTTATTTTTTTATTTTTATTCATTTTTTGTTAATCTTCACCTGAGGATATTTTTCCATTGATTTTTAGGGAGGGAGGGAGAGAAACATCGATATGTTTCCACACATTTACTGACTGGTTGCCTTCCGTAGGACCTCTACTGGGGCCAGGGTCGAACCTGCAACACAGGTACGTGTGTCCTTGACCAGGAATCAAACTCGAGACCCTTTGATTCAAGGGCTGACACTTTACCTGCTGAGCTAAACTGTCCAAGACTGACTTCCTGTTGTTGTTGTTGTTTTCTTTTTTTATCCTCACCTGAGGACTTTTTTTTTTTTTTTGCATTTATCTTCAGATAGAGCGGGAGGGAAAGAGAGAGAGAGAGAGAGAGACACATCGACTGATTGCCACCCGCACAACCCCAACAAGGGCTGGGGACAAACCACAACCAAGGTACATGCCCTTAGCAGGAACTGAACCCAGGTCTCTTTGGACCATGGGCCGATGCTCTAACCGCTGAACCAAACTGGCAAGGGCTTCTGTTTTTTTTTTTAATATGTTTTTATCGATTTTTTTATAGAGAGAGGAAGGAAGAGAGAGATAGAAACATCACTGTGAAAGAGAAACATCAGCGGACTGCCTCCTGCATGCCCCCCATTGGGGATTGGGCCCACAAACCCTGGGGGGATGTGCCCTGACCTGGAATTGAACTGGGACCTTTCAATCCACTGAACCATACTGGCTGGGCTGACTCCTGGTTTTAATGTTACTGTACTTTGTTTAATCCTTTATATTAGCACCACTGCCAGTGTGGAAAATAGATTTGTTGCTTTGTTTTTGTCAAATCTGGGGAAGGTGCTTTTACTACTAGCTAAAACTACTATTTTGGATTATCTATGTATTTGTCCCTGTTTGTCTTTTAATTGCTGATAACCCTGGATAATCAAGAATCTTCATATATTAAAAAGGAATTGCTTGTTTAGTTGTCAGTTAATATTACAGAGGGTGCTATTTACATACTTTTATTTCAACCACTATAAAATAAAGTCACTTGGAAAGTAGAGATTGGCAGCTTATTCTCTAGTTGTGGTGTTAATTTATTTTTGCATAGCATCTGTTGCTGTGCATAAAAGTAAATTAGCTAATTTTCATTTGAATTTGAATGTGCCTGGCTGATAGTGAATTTCCTTTGGGATGTTGTAGAAAGTTACCATATGTATGGCAATAACTGTGATGTCCTCTTCCTCCATATCGCTCTCATAAAGACTGAACAATGATTGGTAAATGACTTGTGAATGTATTGTTATTATATATAACATAAAGACTGGGTAAATATATCAAAATTGTTTTTAGGATTTATGAAATTCTTAAACCCTGAGAGTCAGCAGGTGTTTCTGAGGTGGACTGAATGGCTTTTAGTAAATGGATCATTAGCAGATGCACAAGGTTATTCTGAACTGCCTGTGAGACTGGTCTCGTCATCTCATCTTACTGTGAAACTGATTTTTAAACTTGATGACTGTCTGAGTTGTGTAATAATTTCACATACCTTAAATTCTTACTCTATGACGTTTTGTCTTATTTTGCCTTATTTTTCTCACGAATTTTCAGTACTGTTTGAGTCTTGTGAAATGAAACTTGGGTGAATTGAAGAAATCACATTTGTACTTAAGTATTAATGTTTTTTATTTGTAAAACATGACAGACCATTCTGATCATACTTTAGTCTTAATCATCTTGTTTGAATTTGCCAATCAAAAACTAACTTTAAATTTTTCTCTCAATATATATCAATATAGTATCAAAGAAAGGATACTATACTTTTTATTTTTTTATTTATTTTATTTTATTTTTTAATCCTCACCTGAGGACATTTTTCCATATTTTGTTCAGATAGAGTGGGAGGGAGGGAGGGAGAGAGAGAGAAAGAGAGAAACATCGACGTGGAAAGGACACATCGAGTGGTTGCCAGCTGCACAACCCAACCAGGGCCGGGGACAAACTGCAACCGAGGTACATGCCCTTAGCGGGAACCGAACCCGGGTCTCCGCACTGCAGACCGACACTCTAACCGCTGAGCCAAACCGGCCAGGGCTAGGGATACTATACTTTTATAAATACATATATAATAAGTATTTTATGGATATGGATTAGTTATTTCTGTTGCTTGAATATTGTTTTCCTGAGCCACTGCTAACAGAGAGTATGAAGCCCGCTTGGAAAGATACAGTGAGCGCATTTGGACATGTAAGAGTACTGGAAGTAGTCAGCTAACACACAAGGAGGCCTGGGAGGAGGAACAGGAAGTTGCTGAACTGTAAGTAATGTAAACATTGGTTTTTTAGCACCATCTTCACATTGTTAGGAAAGGGGAGATAGTGACTGTAAAGCAATATTTGTATTAAAATTTATGGGACACTGTATTGGTGTCTAAGTGCCCTTGCCTAGTGGAATTTTGCTAGTAACAAAATTTGTGGAATATATTATTATTATTTTTAATTTTTAATTTATTAATTTGTTTTTGTTACAGATGTTTCTTATTATTCCCCCATTGACACCCTCCTCCCCTTCTCCCCCACGCCATCACCAGCTTTGTTGTCTATGTTCATTGGTCATGCATATGTGCATGTAAGTTCTGTGGTTTATCTCTTCCCCCACAAACCCCCCCCCCCCCAGGCTTGTCAGCCTGTACCCCACCTCCATGTGTGAGTTAATTTTGTTCAGTAGTTTGTTTATTTCATTATATTCCACAAATAAGTGAGATCATGTGATATTGTCTTTCTCTGCTCGGCTTGTTTCGCTGAGCATAATACTCTCCAGGTCCTTCCATGCCGTCTCAAAGGATAAGAGATCTTTCTTTCTTACAGCTGCATAGTATTCCGTTGTGTACATGTACCACAGCTTTTTAATCCACTCATCTACTGATGGACACTTGGGTTGTTTCCAGATCTTAGCTATTGTAAATAGTGCTGCTATGAACATGGGTACATATATTTCTTCTGATTGGTGTTTCAGGTTTCTTAGGGTATATTCCTAGAAGTGGGATCACTGGGTCAAATGGCAATTCAATTTTTAACTTTTTGAGGTAACACCATAGTGTTTTCCATAGTGGCTTCACCATTCTGCATTCCCACCAGCAGTGTACTAGAGTCCCCTTTTCTCCACATCCTTGCCAACACTTGTTGTTTGATGATTTGTTGATGGCGGCCATGGAATATATTATTATTATTTTTTTTTTATCCTTACCTGAGAACATTTTTCCACTTTTGGTTCAGATAGAGTGGGAGGGAGAGAGAGGAAGAGAGAAACATTGATGTGAAAGGGACACATAGAGTGGCTGCCACCCACACGACCAACCAGGGCCGGGGACAAACTGCAATCGAGGTACATGCCCTTAGCGGGAACCGAACCTGGGTCTCTCTGGACCGCAGGCCAACGCTCTAACCGCTGAGTCAAACCGGCCAGGGCCCATTTTTTGTTCAGATAGGGTGGGAGGGAGAGAGAGAGAGAGAGAGAAACGACATGAAAGGGACACATCGAATGGTTGCCACCTGCATGACCCAACCAGAGCCGGGGACAAACTGCAATCGAGGTACGTGCCCTTAGTGGGAACCGAACCTGGGTTTCTCTAGACCACAGGCCGACGCTCTAACCGCTGAGTCAAACCAGCCAGGGCAGAATATATTATTTATATATACTTATTTAGGTGTTTACCAGGCTTTTGATTGATTTTGCTCTCTATTTTTTTTTTTCTTGTAAATATTTTGAAAATGTAGTTCTGAGCAATGGAAACAAATACGATGTAGAAGTAATATGGAGGCAGCAAATAAGTAGAAAGTTTTAAAATTTTTATGGTCATTTGAAATTTAAGACGGTATTTACAGCAGCTATCAAAAATAAATACACAGTTTGAAGACCATTTATCTAAGTTGAGGTAGTTGAATGAGTCTTTTTATTTTTTTAAATTTATTTTTTATCCTCACTTGAGGACATTTTTCATTTTTTATTCAAACAGAGTGTGAGGGAGAGAGAGGAAGAGAAAGAGAGAAACATCGATGTGAAAGGGACACATCGAGTGGCTGCCACCCACTTGACCCAACCAGGGCTGGGGACAAACTGCAACTGAAGTACATGCCCTTAGCGGGAACCGAACCTGGATCTCTCTGGACCGCAGGCCGACGCTTGAACCGCTGAGCCAAACTGGCCAGGGCATGAGGAGTCTTTTTAAAAAAATAATGTTTTTATTAATTTTAGAGAGAGAGGAAGGGAGCAGGAGAGAAATAGTGATTGGCTGCCTCCTGCATGCCCCCTACTGAGGATGGAACCCCCAAACCTGGGCATGTGCCCTGACCAGGATCAAAATGGCTGGCAATCTTTTGGTATATGAGAACATGCTCAGCCAACTGAACCACACCAGCCAGGGCTGAATGAGGAGTCTTATAAAATCCTGTCTGTATTCAAAAATGCCTACTTGTCTGGGTATTCCTTCAAAGAAAACACTCAGAATTTGTGCAGTAGGATCATGTAAAGCATAAGTAGAAACTAGGTGTGATCAATGACATTTTTGGGAATTTGGAATAGAAGATTTTTCTGTTGACTTCTCATTGACTTCTCCTGATAGATAAGTGGAGATTATTTAATTCTGTTCTTTTGCTGATGTAACAGAACATTGGATTTAGTTGAGATTTGGGTTCTAGGTATGGCTTCTAGCACTGACTAATAATTAGTCAAGTTTGTTAACCTGGTACCTGTTTTTTCTTTGCTTGGGTCACTTACCTCATTCTGTTTTAGATTAGTGTATTTGTGTATATGCCATTTTTAGTATATTAGACCAGGGGTTGGTCACCATTTTTTGTATAGTGCCAGTTAGTACATATTTTAGGGTTTGTGGACCACGTAGTCTTTTTCTCAGCTGTTTAATTCTGAAGTTGTACAGTGGAAACAGCCATAGATAATAATACATAAATGAATGGGAGTGAGTATGTTCCAATAAAATTTTATTCATAAAAACTAGTAGCAGACTGGATTTGACCTATGGGTTATTGCTGCCTCTTACAGTAACCTGTAAACTTCTTGAGGGCAGCTCTCATATTTTATTCTTGAATTGGTTACTGTACTAGGCACAATCCTCTGCACCATATAAGCATGTACTATTTACTCTTTGCAAATAGAGACAATACTACTTCGTCTCTGTATGGTTTTGAGACAAAAAGAGACTAACTTGTAGTTGTTAGGGAAAGCTTAGGAAGCTTTATGAAGACAGTGACATTTGTAGGAATTTGTGTCAATTCATAGAAGACAAGTTGAGACAGTTGTATTTAATTCAGTGAACAGTATGAGGACAACAGTGATTTTGAACAGGAGAGGAACATATAACAGTTTTTTTTTTTCAAGATTTTTTTCCTTTATTGATTTGAGAGAGAGAGGAAGGGAGAGGGAGAGAGAGAGAAAAAACCATCAATGAGAGAGAACATTGATTGGCTGTCTCCTGCATGCCCCACACTGGGGATTGTACCTACAACCTGGGCATGTGCCCTGACTGGGAATTGAACCAGCGACCTCTTGGTGCATGGGTTGCGCTCAACCAGTGAGCCACAGCGGCCGAGCCTGACAGTTTTGATAATTGAAGTTGGACATTGAGAAGAGTAATCCGGAAGAAGTGTGTAGGATGAGTTAGAAAAGGAAGAGGCAGGTGTGAAGTCTGTATGTAGGCTAGCTAGGTTACTGTTCAGGTAGGGAATCATGATATTGTTGGGAAGAGAGAGAACGAGGTAGATTCTCTAATTCTTCCTGAAAAGAGGGGGTTTTTTGGCCATAACTTTGGAAACACTATATACCTGTTCTTGAAAAGTCACAATGCATACTAGTGTGTTAAAGATTTTTCAGAAGACCTGTAGTAAAGAAACTTTAGCTTGGTTTACTCTTACGGGTTTCAAACTTATTTGACCTTGGAACAGATTACATCAGAGGGAAGTTCTTAAGGACACTTTTTGGGGAATGTATTATGTGATTTGATAGCTAACAGTGTAGGGGGCGGTGGAAGAAATGATTGAAAAAGACTGAAGTTTTACAGTTTTTATTTAAAGTAGGAATTTGTTTTTATAAAAGCAATGCATACTGGTTATAAGACTAAATAATACAGAGTTAGTAAAAGAATCTGAACATCATGTCCAACTTTACTTCTCAGAAATAACCGTAGACAATGAAGTGTTAAAATCAAGTGACTGGGAGGCATAATGGAAAGAGTGAATTTTATAGGGTTCAAGAAAGGTCTCGTGAAATTGAGATATCTTGGAAGGATGATTAAGCTGAGAAGGAGGACAGTGAGGAGAGGACAAAGGTAACAGCCTTAACAAAGGCAGGGAGAGTAGAGTCTTACTGATTGTGACTAGGGAATATGAGAAAATACGGTGGGTTATTTAATTGTAAGGGAGTATGATAAAAGATTTTAAGTCTAGCAATCAGTTGATGAAACATTTGTAGTCATGAACAGCACAGAAAATTATTGAGAATATTGTAATATGAAAATAAACCAAATACTTGCATTTGCATGAATGTTCTCATGCCTAATCCTCCCCTTCGCGCACAGCACAAATATTATTAAACTTTGGTCAGAATTGGAATCTAATGACTACCCGTTAAGGTTCTTTTTAATTAAAACAAAAGAAAAAATTTTTCCTTAATTCTCACCTGAGATTTTTCTCTTTATCATCAGATACAGTGGGAGGGAGGGAAGGAGGGAGGAAGGGTGAGAGGAGAGAGAGAGAAACATCAACTGGTTGCCTCCCGCACGACCCCGACCAGGGCCAAACTGCAACTGAGGCATTTGCCCTTGACCAGAATCGAACCCATGACTCATGGGTCCGTGGGCTGACACTCTAACTGCTGAGCCAAACCTGCCAGGGCTAAATATGTTTTTACTGATTTTTTTTAGAGAGAGTAAAGGAGAGAGAGTGAAACATCAATGTGGGAGAGAGATTGATCGGCTGCCCCCTGCACGTCCCCCTCCTGGGGATCGAACCCACAACCCAGGCATGTACCCTGACTGGGAATTGTACTGAGGCATCTCAGTCTGTGGGATGATGCTCATTCCACTAAGCCGTACCAGCCGGGCCTATCTGTTAAGATTGCTTCTTATTTTCTGTGACCAATAAGAATATCTTTGTGTACATATGATGGTTTTGATAATTGGTTTTAGACTGCCTTTTTTTTTTTAATCCTCACCTGAGGACACTTTCTCCATTTTTGTTCAGATAGAGTGAAGGAGAGAGAGGGAGAAAGGGAGAGAGAGAGAAACATTGATGTGAGAGAGACACCTCCACTGGTTGCCTCCCGCATGACCCCAACCATGGCCGGGAATGAACTGCAATCAGGGTATGTGCCCTTGACTGGAATTGAACCCGTGACTCATTGGTCCGTGGGCCAACACACTAACCACTGAGCCAAACCGGCCAGGGCTGAAACTGGTTTTTATGTTTTTTATCTTCACCCAAGGACTTTTTTTTTCTTTCATTTTTGTCCAGATAGAGTGGGAAGGAAAGAGAGGAAGAAAGAGGGGGATGGGGAAACATAGACATGAAAGGGTCACATTGAGTGGCTGCCTCCCACAGGGCCCTAACCAGAGCTGGGGACAAATTGACACTGAGGTATGTACCCTTGACCGGAACCAAACCTGGGACTCCCTGGTCCGTGGGCTTATGCTCTGACTGCTGAGGCAAACCGGCCAGGACATCAGACTGCTTTTTAAAAGAGATGAAACAGGCTATCAGCAATATATGAGTGTTATTTTACACTATTCATTTGCTCATATTGGATATTATAATTAAAGTTCTTTTTTGCTAGTTTAGTAAGTTAAAAGTGATACATCATGGTTTTACTTCAAAGGCTTTGGAGTTCAAGTCATGGTTCTAATATGTTAACTCTTCCTGACTGACTTTTCTTATCCATAAAACGAAAATTCTAGATATCTCATAAGGTGTTATGAGAACTAAATGAATGAATGCTTATGAAAGCATTATTGATTCAGACATAATACACATTATGGTATCCTAACTAAAAGATGGGAAAAGGCTGTGAAGCATTTATGATGCCCTCACTAAAAGATGGGAAAAGGCTATGAATAAATAATTCACACCTAAAAAGGGAAGTCTACTGCAAAAACAAACTAATGGCAAAATGACCAAACTTACTAATGATGTGCCTATTATTTTCACTTTCTAGATGAGAAAATTAATCTGGTCAGTCTGACAAAGATATTTATAAGTTCTTTCTTTTTCTTGTGTGCCAGATGGTTTTTAATTTTTGTATTCTCTAGTGCCTTGCATGTATTTGCTAAAGAAATGTTCAGTTGATCTGAATTAAAGCTCTGGGTAGGGTTTTTTTTTTTTTTTATTTTCTTGGTAATTAATAATATATTTGTTTAGTTTGAAGGAAGAGTTTCCTGCCTGGTACGAGAAACTTGTTCTGGAAATGGTTCACCATAACACAGCCTCCTTAGAGAAGTTAGTAGATACTGCTTGGTTGGAGATCATGACCAAATATGCTGTGGGAGAAGAGTGTGACTTTGAGGTAAGTGCCTATTTTTTAAAAAAAAAAGTGATTTGACTCACTAAGCATATGTCAAGGTTTGAGCATAGAGTACAGAATGTATTTCTGTGTGTATGAAACTGTTTTGTGAAGTCTTCTCTACTTCAAATGTAAGGACCAAATTTTAGAATACTAGGCTAGTCATTTTACAACATGTCTTGTAGAATCTGCACAGAACATTGAGGTAGTAAACAGGCTCAGATATTTATTTATTTATTTATTTTATTTTTAATTTTTTTTTATCCTCACCCCAGGACATTTTCCCATATTTTGTTCAGATAGAGTGGGGGGCGGGGGAGAGAAAGAGAGAAAGAAACATTGACGAGAAAGAGACTCATCAAGTGGTTGCCACCCTCCCGACTTAACCAGGGCGAGGGACAAACTGCAATTGAGGTACGTGCCCTTAGCGAGAACTGAATCCGGGTCTTTCTGGACTGCAGGCTGACGCTCTTAACTGCTGACCCAAACCGGCCAGGACCAGGCTCAGATATTTAAATAGATTGTTTAGATTGTTATATGAATTATGAGTGATTTCAGTTATGTGTAATGAAGTATCTATCAGTGGCCGGTAATTTTCATACTTTAACCTAAATTAAAATTACTTATTCTTGAACTGTTTCTAAAAATTGAAGAGTAAGAAGGCTTTCAAACTCATTTTATGAAACCAGCATTACCTTGATACCAAAACCACATAAAGACATTATAATAAAAGGAAAATTTATAGGCCAATATCTTTGATGAATATACATGCAGAAACTTTCAACAAAATATTAGCAGACTGAATTCAACCATGCATCAAGAGAATTATACACAATGACCAAATAGAATTCATCTCAGGGATACAATGATGGTTCAACATCCATACATCAATCATTGTAATATATTACATTAACAAAATAAAGGTTAGAAACAATATGATCATTTCAATAGATGAAGAGAAAGCATTTGACAGAATTCAACATCCTTTTATGATAAAAACTCTCAACAAAACTGGTACTGAAGGAACATCTCAACATAATAAAGGCCACATGTGGCAAATCCATAGCTACTATCATACTCAGTGGTGAAAAGCTGAAAGCCGTTCCTCAAATAACAGAAGCAAGACAAGGATGCCCACTCTTATCACTCATAGTCAACACAGTAGTGGAAATCCACAGCAGTCAAACAATAAAAGGCATCTAAATTGGGAAGGAAGAAGTAAAACTCTCATTATCTACAAATGACATACTATGTATAGAAAACCCTTAAGATTCCACCAAAAAATTATTAGAATTAATAAACGATTTCAATAAAATTGAATGATGTGTTTCTACACACCAATAATGAATGATTAGAAGAAAACAATCTCATGTACAATTACATCAGAAAGTATAAAGTACCTATGAATAAACTTAACCAAGAAGGTGAAAGACCTGTATTCTGAAAACTAGAAGACATTGAAAAAAGAAATTGAACAAGATACAAATAAATGGAAGGATATACTTTGCTCATGGATTGGAAGGATTAACATGTTAAAATATCCTTACTATCTAAAGTAATATACAGATGCAGTGCAATCCCTATTAAAATGCCAGTGACATTCTTCTCAGAATCAGGACAACTAATCCTGAAATTTATATGGAACCACAAAAGACCCCACATAGACAAAGAAATCTTAAAAGAGAACAAAGTGGGTGGTATCATGCTTCCTGATGTCAAACTATACTACAAATCTACAATAATCAGAATAGTATGGTACTGGCATAAACACAGGTATATAGATCAATGAAATAGAATAGAGCGCCCAGAAATAATTACTTGCTTATGTCAACAACAAGGGAGGCAAGGATATACCATGGGGTAAAGAGAGTTTCTTCAATAAATGGTGTTGGCAAAGCTCGGCAGATACATCTAAAAAATGAAACTGGACCACTTTCTTACACCATATATAAAGATAAACTAAAAATGGATTTAAAAGACTTAAATGTTAGACTTGAACTAATAAAATGCCTAGACAAAAACATAGGCAGTAAACTCTTTGACATCACTCTTCACAATGACTTTTTGGATATTTATTTATTTATTATTTTTTTTAAGATCCTCACCTGAGGATACTTTTCTGTATATTTTCGGATAGAGTGGGAGGGAGGGAGAGAGAACCATCAATGCGAGAGAGACACATCGATCGGTTATTTCCCGCATGACCCCAATCAGGGCTGGAGACCGAACTGCAACTGAGGTATGTGCCCTTACCAGAATTGAACCCACAACTCTGGTCCACGGGCCAACACTGTACCCGCTAAGCCAAACCAGCCAGGGCCAGGGCTATTTTCTTTTATTTAAATTGATTTTAGAGAGAGGAAGGGAGAGTTAAAGAAAGAGGAAAAAAGCATCAGCATTATTTTTCCATTTATTTATGCCTTGACCAGGAATCAGACCCACAATTCTGGAGCATTGAGATGATTCTCCAACCAATTGAACTACCCGACCAGGGCTGGATATATTTTCTCCAGTGAGGGAAACAAATAGAAGAAACACATGGGACTACATCAAAATAAAATGATTTTGCAAAACAAAGGAAACCATTAACAAAATGAAAAGACAGCCTACTAAATGGGATAAGATATTATCAAATGATACATCCATAAGGGGTTAATACTCAAAATATATAAGGAACTCATACAACTTAATACAAAAAAAACAAGCAATTCAATTAAAAAAGGCAGAGTACTTGGACATTGCTCCCAAGAGGATATACAGATGGCCAACAGACATGAAAAGTCTCAACATCACTAATCATCAGGAAAATACAAGTTAAAACAATGAGCCTGTCACACCTGTCACAGTGGCTATCATCAATAAATAACAAGTGCTGGCGAGGATGTGGAGAAAAGGGAGCCTTTGTGCACTGTTGGTGGGATTGTAAATCAATGCAGTTACTATGGAAAATAGTATGGAGATTCCTCAAAAATTAAAAACAGAGCTGCTGCCCAGACCAGTTTGCTCAGCAGTTAGAGTGTTGGCCCACCAACCAGAGTCACAGGTTTGATTCCTGGTCTTGGTTGCAGGTTTGATCCCTAATGCAGGAGGCAACCAATCAACCAATCAATGTATCTCACTCACGTCGATGTTTCTCTTTCTCTCTTTTCCTCCCTCTCTTCCACTCTATCTGAAAAAAAAGTCAGTGGAAAAATATCCTCGGGTGAGGATTAAAAAAATAATAATAATTGCCCAGCTAGTGTGGCTCGTTGCCCCGCTCTGGGGATTGGGCCCACAACCTGGGCATGTGTCTTGATTGGGAATCGAACTGGCGACCTCTTGGTGTATAGGTCGAGGCTCAACCTCTGAGCCACACTGGCCGGACCAAAAAAAAAATTTTTTTTTAAAAGGGCTCTAATCATACTAAGTATATATTCTGACTAAAATGGAATTAAATTAGACATCAATAACAGATATCTGGAAACTGCAAATAATTCAAAACTAAATAACACTCTTTAACTTACTCATAGATTAAAGAAGAAAGCAAAAGGGAAATTAGAAAATATTTGAACAGAATGCGAATGAAAACACTAAAATTTGTGAGATGTTGCTTATTGTAGTGCTTAAGAGAAATGTATAACACGAAACACCTATGTTAAAAAAAGTAAGGTCTCAAATCATTGAACTTAACATGTCTACCTTAAGAAATAAGGAAAATGTTTCCCTGGCCAGTTTGGCTCAGCAGTTGAGCGTTGGCCTGTGGACCAGAGAGTCCCGGGTTCGGTTCCTGCTAGGGGCACGTAAAAAAAAAAGGAAGGAAAATGTGACAATATGAATTAATCTACAGGGTATTATAAATAAAGTCAAGTGGAGAGAGACAAATACTATATAGCTTCACTTATATGTGGAACCCAAAAGCTAAACAAATGAACAAAACAAAAACAGATTCATAGAAATAGAGACCAAAGGGATGGTTGCCAGAGGGGGAGGGAGTGAGGGAAATGGGAGAAGTGGGTAGGGGAAATATAGTTGATAATATTGTGATGGGTTTGCATGGTGACAGATGATTGCTGGAATTGGTGAGGTGATCACATCGTGGAGTGTAAGAATGTTGAATCACTGTGTTGTACATCTGAAACTAATATAACCAATATAGTATTGTAAACCAGCTATACTTAAGTAAAAAAATAAATTTAGAAATTAAAAGAAATAAGAAAAGACAAATCCAAAGGAATTAATAAAAATCAGAGTGGAAATAAAATAGAAAACAGGAAAATCATAGAGAAAAAAATTAATGAAACTAAAAGCTAATTTGAAGAATAATAAAACCAATAAACCTCTAGCCAAACTCAGGGAAAAAAAGAGGAGAAACAAATGAACCAATATGAAGAATTACAGAGGTAATATCACTACATAGTCTTATTGACATTGATAGGATAATAAGGGAATATAGTATGAGCAATAAATTTGACAACTTAAGTGAAATGGACAAATTCCTTGAAAGATACAAACTACCAAAACCCTCTTAAGAAGAAACAGAAACAGAGCCCTGTAACTATTAAAGAAATTGAATTTGTAGTTAAAATCATCCTACAAAATAAACTGCAGGCCCAAATGTCTTCATTGGTGAATTCTACCAAAAATTTAGGGAAGAAATAACACCAATTCTATTCAGGCTCTTCCAGAAAATAGAAGAGAAGGAATTCTTCGTGATTCATTTTATGAGATCAGCATTACACTGATACAAAACCACATAAACACATTACAAGAAAAAATTACAGACTAAGAAAAAAATTTTCTGTTCACACACACACACACACACAAATCCCTTATGAATATAGATGTAAAAATTCTAATAAAAATTTTAGCAGATGAAAGCAACTTTGTATTAAAAGGATAATACATTAGGAACAAATAAAGTTTATCCTGGGAATGAAAACTTATCTTAAACTTGTAATTTTTATTGCTACATGATCATTCTCAATTACATACAAAAGGCATTGGAAAAATCCAGCATTGATTTCTAATAAAAACATTCAGCAAAAACAGAATCTTTTTCAATCCAACAGTTATTTATAGAATTACCCTCAGTTAGCATCATACCTAATGGTAAAATACTGAGTATCTTCTTTCCTAATCTATTTAACATTGTATTGAAGGGTCTGACCAGTGTAGTATGTCAAGAAAAAGAAATAGCCCTAGCCAGTTTGGCTCAGCGATTAGAGCATTGCCTGTGGACTGAAGGATTTCGGGTTTGATCCCTGTCCCTGATTGGGGTTGTGCAACCAATCACTGTGTCTCTCTCACATCCATGTCTCTGTCTGTTTTCTTTCCCCTCCCTTCCTCTGTTCCTCCCTCTCTCCTTCTCTTCCACTCTATCTAAAAAAATCAATGGAAAAATATACTCGGGTGAGGATAAACAAAAACAATGAAAGAGCCCTGGCCGGTTTGGCTCAGCGATTAGAGCGTCGGCCTGCAGTCCTGAGAGACCCGGGTTCGGTTCCCGCTTAGGGCACGTACCTCGGTTGCAGTTTGTCCCCGGCCTTGGTTAGTCGTGTGGGTGGCAACCACTCGATGTGTCCCTTCACATTGATGTTTCTCTCTCTCTGTTCCTCTCTCCCCCTCCCACTCTACCTGAACAAAAAATGGAAAAATGTCCTCTGGTGAGGATAAAAAAAAAAAAAATGAAAGAAAGAAAGAAAAAGAAATAAAAGTCATCCAAATTTCAAAGGAAGAAGTAAAATGATCTTTATTCCAGATATGATTGTCTATGTAACAAGCTAATGGAGTCTACCATAAAAGCTATCAGAATTAATAAATGGCAGGATACAAGATAAAGAAACAAAAACCAATTTGCATTTATTTCTATGTGTTTAGCAACAAACAATTTTAAATTTAACAAAGCAATACTATGTATTTTCTTTATTGATTTTAGAGAGAGAGGGAGAGAGAGATGAAAACATCAATGAGAAAGAACATTGATTGGCCGCCTCCTGCATGCCTCCCCCCCCTTCCCACTGGGTATTTGACCCACAAAGTGGGCTTCTGCTCTGAATGGGAATCGAATTGGTTACCTACAGATGCATGGGTCAGTGCTCAACCACTGAGCCACACCAGCCAGGCCAAAGCAATACTATTTCAATAATCAGAAAATATTAAATGCTTGCCTTGACTGATGTGGCTCTGTGGTTAGAGTGTTGGCCCATGCACTGATGGATCTCGAGTTTGATTCCTGGTGAAGGACATGTTACCTGGGTTGCAGGTTAGAGAACTAATATCGTCTGATTTTGAGCCTTCAAGTTTTAAAGCATTAAGATGGTGTAAAATTGGTATAAAGATAGACAAATAGATGAGGGGAACAGAATAGCATCCAGAAATAGACACAGGCACACATACACACTACTGATGTTTGATACAGGTTGAAAGGCAATTAAGTGAAGAAAAGGTAGTCTTTTCAATAGGTGGTTCTGGAATAGTTGGATATCCATATGTAGAGTTGATTTTTTTATACAATGGAAATTCTTGAACTGTATTTACACATATCTGAGGTCTGTGCAGTGATTGTCCTTTAGTTTTAATGCATTGGTACATGAATTATAAACTAGATTGTGATCATTTTTTAAGATGTCATATTTTACTGGGTGAAAAAGGTGAAGGGCTTAAAAGTAGAAATTGGCAGTTACAGAATAATTACAGGGGTGTAAAGTCAATAGGGAATATAGTCAATAATATTGTAATAACTATGTATGGTGTCAGGTGGGTACTGGACTTATCAGGGGATCACTTTGTAAATTATATAAATATCTAATCTAATCACTGTGCTATACACCTGAAACTAATATAATTTTGAATGTTAACTGTAATTGAAGAATATAAAAAAGAAACATAGCTGTTGTAGAAAAAGAATAAAGTAATTAAATCGGGGAAGAAATGTCATTTTTTAACATAAAAGTCAGAAATAAAATTGGAAAAATCACTCTACTTGGTTGGTATTTAGAGTTTTTTTAAGTGGGGTGGAATGTATATTGGATAATATATTCTAAGCATTATCTTCAGGTTTTCTAGTTCTTATTTATTATCTTTGATTCTCACTCCTGTCTCTCTAGGTTGGGAAGGAAAAAATGCTCAAGGTGAGGATTGTGAAGATTCATCCTTTGGAGAAAGTGGATGAAGAGGCCACTGAGAAGAAATCTGATGGTGCCTGTGATTCTCCCTCAAGTGACAAAGAGAATTCTAGCCAAATTGCTCAGGAGCATCAGAAAAAGGAAGCAATTTTAAAAGAGGATGAAGGGAGAAGAGAGAATATTAGTATGTATGATACTAGCTTTCCTATGTTGCTCTTACTATACACAGACCTTTTTGAGGTCTCCAGCAATTAATTTTGTAATCGAGTTTTGTAGCTACACAGCTATGCCTTTTGTGAAGAAAGCAACTTAAAATATGCACAAAACAAATCAAGACTTAAATCTCCCTACACAGTTAAGAACCGTGGAAAGTCATTTCCTCTTGTTAGAAATCTGTGTGCACATACCTAGCTACTCAAGATGGTAAAGAAAATTTGCTTTCATTTTCTCTTTAAGTTGGAAAATATGTGTGTGTCTTGAGGGAGTCAGAGTAGGAGGGGCAAATTCTAATCTCTACTTCTCTTCACCTTGCAAACCAATTGTGGTGATTTTAAGATACTTCCTTTTATCTATATTCTATAACTCAAGTCCCTCCCACATGGGAGCTGCCAGAATTTTGAAACATGATGTCTGAATATAATTTTTTGGGACTTGGTGGTTCTAAAAATACTGTTTAGAAAATTGAAGAACTGAGACATTGCCCATTGAGAAAATTATTCAGCCTCTGAAGCCTTTGTTAAAAAAAAAATAAAGAATTTGACTGGAATATATTCCTTCTGTCTTAAAATCTGAGCACTTAAAGGATTTGTGTATATTGATCCTCCTTCCTATGACTGTTAGAGGATCAAATCTTATCTCACATTTAAGTGTTACATACACAGATTAAATTAGAATATTACATTAGAGGGCTATGCTCTCTGTGTTTTCATTCTGTTTTTCCAGATGTTTTGTATTAGTGCAGATGTTTTTATTTATTTATTTACTTATTTTGTTAATCCTCACCTGAGGATATTTTTCCATTGATTTTTTTAAGAGAGAATGGAAAGGAAGAAGAGAGAGACATAAATGTGAGAGAGGCACATGAATTGGTTGCCTCACTACTGGGGCTGGGAATCAAAGCTGCGACCCAGGTACATGCCCTTGATTAGAATCAAACCCATAACCCTTTGGTCCACAGGCTGACACTACTGAGCCACATAGGCCAGGGCTGTTCCTTAGATTCTTTTCATAGGGTTTTTGTTCTGCCTTTTTACTTATTTTTAAAATGTTTTTATTGATTTTTTTGGGGGGGGGGGGGAGAGATAGAAACATCAATGTGAGATAGAAACATCGATTGGCTCGCTCCTGCATGACCCCCACTGGGAAGCAAGCCTGAAAGCCAGTCAGGCACCCTGACCAGGAATCGAACCAGTGATCTCTTGGTGCATGGGTCTACAAATGCTCAACCACTGAGCCACACCAGCCAGGCCATGTCGGGATTTTAAACTCAATCTGTGTATAGGATGATGATTCTCAAACCTAGGTCAGTTTAGTTTCTTACTTTGTATGACCCAGGCAATTCAAGTTTAACACATGTAAAGCTAAATTAATCACCTCAGTCTTTGTTGTCTCCCCAAAGTAAGTAAACAAGAACCCTAGTATTAATATTCTCTTACTTAGTTTTTTTTTTTTTTTGGTACATGCCCCTAGCCGCTAGGGCCCAGTGGGAACTGAACCCGGGACTCTCTGGTCCACAGGTCGATGCTCCAACCGTTGAGCCAAACTGGCCAGGGCCCTCTTACTCAGTTTTATCTACTCTGTCCAGAAGACAGAAAACTTAGAAACTATTAACATTCCCACATCTAGTTGATTATCAAGTTTGTCTTCTAATACCTCTTAATTCTTTCCTTTTCCATTCCAGTTACATTAATTCAGATGTTTAGCGTTGTGTCTTCTGATTTCCTTATTTTCAGTGTCATCTTTTCATTTTATTCATTTTCTAACTTAGTTTTTTCACACTAGTGATCTTTCCAAAATATACATCTGGTTAGCTAGACCAAAAACCCTTTGTTTCCCTAGTGCCCAAAAGACATATTTTAATTTCTTTAAACCGTATACAAGACTCTTTATAATTTATCCCCTACTTACCTCTTTAGCCTGATTTTGTTACTATACTTTAGATTATATTCACCCTTACCTCATTATTTTCAGTCTCTGAATAAATCTTATCCTTTTTTTTTAAGGTCTTAGATCTGCTCTTTTTTTTTGTTTTGGTTAGTTCTCATCCAAGGATATTTTTCCATTGATTTTTAGAGAGAGTGGAAGGGAGGGAGTTGGGAGAGAGAGACAGACATCAATGGGAGAGAGACACAGCTATTGTTTGCCTCTTGCACCAGCCAAGGCACAAGTCACATTCTTTCTAGTCCTTTTTTTTTTTATATCCTCATTCGAGGACATTTTTCCATTTTTTGTACAGACAGAGTGGGAGGGAGAGAGAGGAAGAGAGAGAGAGGGAAACATCGATGTGAAAGGGACACATCGAGTGGCTGCCACCCACACGACCAACCAGGGCCGGGGACAAACTGCAACCGAGGTACATGCCCTTAGTGGGAACCGAACCCGGGTTTCTCCGGACCGCAGGCGGACGCTCTAACCGCTGAGCCAAACCGGCTAGGGCTCTAGTCCTTTTTTACCTATCTTCCTAAGTTAGACCTTGCTGCTATCTCCCCTCATATTGTTTTATTTATTTATTTTTTTTAATCCTCACTCGAGCACATTTTTCCATTTTAGTTCAGATACAGTGGGAGGGAGAGAGGAAAAGATAGAGAAACATTGACATGAAAGGGACACATAGAGTGGCTGCCTCCTCTAAGAACCTGACCAGGGCCGAAGATTAACCGCAAATGAGGTATGTGCCCTTGACCGAAATTGAATCTGACTCATTGGTCTGTGGGCTGATGCTCTAACCACTGAGAAAACTGGCCAGGGCCCCTCATATTATTTTTCTGTACCCACTTATATAATAGTAATTTACCACACATTGTATTATAATTATTGTTGGACTCTGCCCATAGACTTTAGCTAGTTGAGGTAAAGATTTCATGATTCATCTTGGTGCCCCATCATCATTCAGTGCCTGGTGCAAAGTAGTGTTCAATAAAACAATGAATGAATGAATGAATGAATGAATGAATGAATGAATTGAATTAAAATAAATAATTTTTTCACAAATTTTCTAATGATTTGACTAGATGACAGAGCACGTAGATCTCCACGAAAACTCCCTACTTCATTAAAAAAAGGAGAAAGGAAATGGGCTCCTCCAAAATTTCTGCCTCACAAATATGATGTGAAACTACAAAATGAAGATAAGGTTAGTAGGCACTTTATATTAATCTTACATGTAGTAGATGTTGTTTAAGAAAATATCATAGGGCTAGTTTTCTCAGAAAATATACTAAAGAAAAATGTAAATGAATGTGTTTCTGCAAGAAATTCTGAGTGGTTTTCTAGTCTTCTAGTCTTCGTAACTATGACTTTAAGTCAAATTGTATTTTTTTTCCTAGGAAATTACATTGTTTTTTCCTTTTAATAGGCATTATTCGGGTTAAGAGTAATTTGTATTTGAACTTCAAACTCAGTTTGAAAAATAAGAATCTGTTTCCAGCAGTTACATACTTCCTGAAGTAGTAGCTCTTCCCAATAAAAGTAGAGCATTTTGTGATGTAATTAAATTCAGAAACTGAGTTAACAGTAATCAGTACTTTTACAAGGACTCTGCAGCTAACAACCTAAAATAGTAAATATCCTTAAAATAACACAGTACTGTGTTTCCTTTATTCTAAAATGTCCATCTTTTGTATTTTTTAATGTGCTTAGAATCAGTATACATGTTAAAGTCAATTGGCATGATGTTTTTTCTTAGTGGTGCATAAAATAATTCATTAATAATAACTTAGAGTCCATGAAATAAGCTGTTACTTTCAGGTACTCATATACCTGTATGTAAAATGTTAGAAAGAAGTGGGGTGGGAGGCTGGGTGTGGAAGGTAGCTACACATTTTTCTTCATGTTTAACTGCTTTATAGAAGAAAAACAGCTGAGGCCTGAGAAATTTAATAATTCTCTCAATGTTCCTAATTTAGTAAAGGAGATTGAGAAGGATTATAACCCAGATCTTTTGCTTCTTTAGAATTGTTTGTTTTCCTCCTTCTCACACTGTTAACAAGTCTTATTCCATTTTGCCTTTTTTTTTTTAAAGTTCTGTTTTTACCCTTTTTTATTATTTATTTATTTATTTTATCCTCACCCAAGGATATTTTTGCATTTATCTTCAGATGGAGCGGGAGGGAGAAAGGGAGGAAGAGAGAGAGTGAAACATCGATGTGAGAGACACATTGAGGGTTGCCACCTACATGATCCCAACTGGGGCCGGGGACAAACTGCAACCAAGGTACAATGCCCTCAGCAGGAACTGAACCTGGGACTCTCCAGTCTGCAGGCTGATGCTCTTAACTGCTGAGCCAAACCCGCCAGGGCTAAAGTTCTGTTTTTTTTTTAAAAAATGTTTTTATTGATTTCTGAAGGGGGGGGGAGAGAAACATCGATGTGAAAAAACATTGATCAGTTGTCTCCTGCATGCCCCGCCCTGGGGATCGAGCCTGCAACCTGGGCGTGTGCCCTGACTGGGAATTGAACCGGGACCTCTCAGTTCACGGGATGACAATCCACTGAGCCATACCAGCTGGGCTTTGACTTTGTTTCATAGTTAGTGTTCTGAAGACATAACCTGGACTGTTAGAATTTCTGTGTCTGTGTGTGTGTATTTTTTTTTTTATTGATTAGAGGGAGAGAGAGAGAGAAACATCCATGAGCGAGAACATTGATTTGCTGGCTTCTGCACACCCCCCACTGGGGATTTGGCCCACAACGTGGGCATATGCCCTGACCAGGAATCTATTGGTGACCTCTTGGTGCATGGGTCAGTGCTCAACCACTGAACCACACCAGCTGGGTCGGACTCTTTATATTTTAAAATTAGATGTTAAATACAATTTTTCACTAAGTTCCTTCCCTCTTATTCAGGAAGGCAGCTAGTTAAAGAATTGCTAGAATTCTCAACAACTTTCCAAATTATCTTTATGTTCTCTCCTTTTTTAAAAAAATGTTTTTATTGATTCTTTAGAGAGAGGAAGGGAGAGAGAGAAACATTGATTGGCTGCCTCGCGCATGTCCCCCACTGGGGACTGAGCCCGCAACCCGGGCATGTGCCCTGAGCAGGAATTGAACTGGGGCCTCTCAGTCCACAGGGTGATGCTCAGTCCACTGAGCTACACTGGCCGGTTTCATTTATATTCTTACTGTTGAATGTAAATTTTTTTGTTCACATTTGGTAAATACTGTTCATAGGAGGATAGGAAATACAAATAAGAAAAAAAGTTATTTCTAATCCCATACTCAGATAATAATTGATAAATATAGTTGTGAGTAATGGTGGTTAGTTTTTAAGTGACTTGTAAAAGTAGGAATATTCTATATATACTATTTTGTAGCTTACTTTTTTTAATTTTCTGTCTCGTAAGTATCTGTAATGTCATAACATTTTTTTCCAAAGCAATATTTTTGGGTTGTAGTGTATATTATAGTTATCTGTGGAGTTTATTAAAAAAGTAGTTGCTATTCCCGAAAGTGGCCAGAGGTGACCTCTGAAAATGGTTTGCTATTCACTTGACCCAGAAATCCCACCAAAATCATGAAAATCAAGAGGTTCAAATTTTTGTGTTCACTGTAAGAAATACCCATGAGCCCGGCCAGTGTGGCTTAGTGAATTGAACATTGTCCCGTGGACTGAGAGGTCCTGATCCGATTCCTAGTCAGGGCACATGCCCGAGTTGCAGGCTCAGTCCCCAGTAGGGGGCATGCAGAAGGCATGTTTTTCTCATTGATGTTTCTATCTCTTTCTCTAAAAAAATTAATAGAAACATTTAAAACAAAAAACATGAAACTACCCAGGTCATCCAAAGATATGCATATCCAAAAAGCCACCAAGTATCTGAAGGATGTCACTTTATAGAAGCAATGTGTGGCCCGGGCCGGTTTGGCTCAGTGGTTAGAGCGTTGGCCTGCGGTCTGGAGAGACCCGGGTTCGGTTCCCGCTAAGGGCACGTACCTCAGTTGCAGTTTGTCCCCGGCCCTGGTTGGGTCGTGTGGGTGGCGACCACTCGATGTGTTCCTTTCACATCGATGTTTCTCTCCCTCCCTCCCACTCTATCTGAACAAAATATTGAAAAATGTCCTCGGGTGAGGATAAAAAAAAGAAGCAATGTGTGCCATTCTGTTATTACAGTGGTGGAATTGGTAGGTGTACCCAGTCCAAATAGTGGGGCTGGACACAGAGCCAGTGGCCCAAAAAGTGCTGAATTTTTGCTGCACATGCTTAAAAATGCAGACCATAATGCTGAACTTAAGGGTTTAGATATAGATTCTCTTGTCATTAAGCACATTCAAGTGAACAAAGCTCCCAAGATCCAGCACAGAATTTACAGAGCTCTTGGGTTAATTAACCCACACACGAGCTCTCCCTGCCACATTGAAATGATCATTACTGAAAAAGAGCAAATTATTCCTAAACCAGAGGAGGGAGGAGGTGGCATAGAAGAAAAAGGCCAGAAGAAATGAAGAAACAAAACTTAATGGCCTGGAAGAAAATTCAGCATAAATAATAAAAGTAAAGCAGAAAAAAATAAAGTGGATTCCCAGGCTCTGCTGCCAGAGATTTTTCTGATTTAGTAAATTTGAGGTGTGGGCCAAGCATATGCATTTTTAAAAAATAATGTTTTTATTGATTTTTAGACAGAAGAGGGAAAGAGAGAGACAAAAAAATCTGTGAGAGAGAAACATTGATTGGTTGCCTCCTGTACACACCCTGCCTGGGGGATCGAACCTTCACCCTGGGCATGTGCCCTGACTGGGAATCAGATAGCAACCTTCTGGTGTGTGGAATGATGCTCAACCAAATCTCACTGGCCAGGGTTAGCATATATATTGTAATAGCTGCCTACATGATTCTGATAAGCTTGTCCTGATTGAGAAAATGTGTTTTCATCCATAGCTGCATGGTGTCTATTATATGGATATATTTTAATTCAAAAAATGAATCTCTTACTGATATATCTTTATGTAGTCTCCTGCCCTCCCCTTTTTCTTTTGCTTTTATGAGCTGGTGATGAATGATCCATTTATTTCATTTTTTTTTTTTATTTTCAAATTTTAATTTTTTTATTTTTTATTCCCTCCCAAGGATATTTTCCCATTGATTTTTAGATAGAGTTGAAGGAAGGGAGGGAGAGAGAGACATCAGTTGGTTGCATCCTGCACAATCCTGACCGGGACTGGGGATCAAACCTACAATCTAGGTATGTACCCTTGACCAGAATTGATCTCGTGACCCCTCAGTCTGAGGGCTGATGCTCTAATTGCCGAGCCAAACTGGCCAGGGCTATGTCCAAATTTTTTTTAAATACTTAAAAAAAAAATCTAGCCCAGCCAGTGTGGCTCAGTGGTTGAGTGTCAACCCGTGCACCAAGAGGTCACCAGTTTGATTCCCAGTCAGGGGACATACCCAGGTTGTGGGCCTGATTCCCAGTTGGGGACATGCAGGAGGTGGCCAATTGATGTTCTCTCTCATTGATGTTTCTATCTCTCTCTCCCTCTACCTTCTTTTCTCTCCCTCTATCTTCCATCTCTCTAAAATCCATAAAGAAAAAAACAAAACAAAAACTTTATTGTTGAAAGTATTACAGATGTTCCCCCCTTTTTCCCCTTTGACCTTCCCCCCCTTTCCACCCCCCTCCCTCTTTCCCCAAACTATTGTCTGTATCCATTGGTTATGCAAATATGCATATAAGTTCTTTGGTTTATCTCTTCCCAACCTCTCTACCAACCTTCCTCCTGAGGTTTGTCAGTCTGTTCTTTACTTCATATCCCTGGATCTATTTTGAAAAAAAAAATTTTTTTTTTCTTCTTGATTTTAGAGAGAGGAAGGGAGAGGAAGAGAGAGATAGAAACATTGATGAGAGAGAACATTGATTGGCAACCATCTGTATGCCCCCACTGGGGATTTGGCCCACAACCTGGGCATGTGCCCTGACCGGGAATTGAACCAGTGACCTCTTGGTGCATGGGTCGATGCTCAACCACTGAGCCACACTGGCAGTGGTTTTGATCGACAGCTTATTTTATTCATGATATTTCATAAATAAGTGAGATCATGTGGTACTTGTCTTTCTCTAACTGGCTTATTTCACTCAGCGTAATGCTCTCCAGATCCCTCCACGTTGCCTCAATATGTTTTTATTGATTTTTTTTGAGAGGAAGGGAGAGAGATGGAAACATTGATCAGCTGCCTCCTGCATGTGCCCTGCTGAGGATTGAGCCTGAAACCTGGGCATGTGCCTGGACAGAGAATTGAACTGGGACCTCTCAGTCCTTGGGACTATGCTCACTCCACCGAGAGACACTGGCTGGACTATCTCCAAATTTTTTTTAATCCTCACTCGAGGTCATTTTTTTTTTTTTTTGCATTTATCTTCAGATAGAGCAGGAGGGAGAGAGAAACATCGATGTGAGAGAGGTACATCAAGTGGTTGCCACCCACACGGCCCCAAGTGTGGCAAGGGACAAACTACAACCGAGGTATGTGCCCTTAGCGGAAACCAAACCTGGAACTCTGGTCCGCAGGCCGATGCTCTAACTGCTGAACCAATCTGGCCAGGGCTTCACATTTTTAATATGAGAAATTGTTGGTTCAGTGGGTATACACATTTGTAGGACTTTGATACATATTGACGAATTGCTTAGGGATTAATTAATTTTCTGTCTCTGAAAATTCTTTTTCTTCCACCTAGTTTATAACTGTTTTATACATGGAATTATGATTTTTCTGGAGAGAACATAAATTTTTGGTTTCCTTGGTTAATTGTTTTTTTACTCCAGTGATGAGTTGTTTATATTTGTTAACTTAGATCATCAGTAATGTACCAGCAGACAGCTTGATTCGGACAGAACGCCCACCAAATAAGGAGATACTTCGATACTTTATACGGCATAATGCCTTACGGGCTGGCACTGGTGAAAATGCACCTTGGGTGGTAGAAGATGAATTGGTGAAGAAGTATTCCCTACCTAGCAAGTTCAGTGACTTTTTACTTGATCCATACAAGGTAAGGTAACTTAATTTTTGAACAGCAGGGTAGAACACTATGAGTTTATTTTCTCAGATGGGATTAGATCTAAAGCAGATTTTGAACTCTTAACATCAGAAAAGGAATTACAAATTTTTCACATTTTTATTTCATATAGGTTGTGATATGCAGGGTTGTTAGGGAAGAGGTCATGTTGAGTATCTCTAGTTCAATTTATTTTTTTACAGAATTAAGAAACAAACTCTATACATGTACTTTTTTGCCTCAGATCCTTCTTGTAATGAGATATGGTATAAATACAAAAATGTATTTTGCAAATTGAACCCTAAAAATGAAAACTGATTTTGTACATCAGAAAAGAGGACCAAATGTATTGGCAGTCTTGAAAAAGGACTTGGAATGAGTATTATTTTGTATGACAGGTTAGTAGAAAATCTAGCATTTCCCTCTTGAGAATATGGTTTTTTCTTTATCTCATTTGATCTTTAGAACATTCTTAGGAAGTTGTATGGTATGTATAAATATATTAAACTTATTTTCCAGATGGGGAAACGGGCTAGTCTAATTACAAGCAGCAGAAAGTGAATGACAAAAACCAAGACATTGACCTTCGATTTCTGATTGTCTTTTCCATTTTAGGGTTTTTCCAAAAAGATTTTAATGTAGTTTGTGAGAGTTTTTAATGTAGCTTGTGAGAGTATTTATGTTTCTTGTGTTTTTATTTATTTATTTATTTTTTATTTATTTTATTTTTTTTTATCATCCTCACCTGAGAACATTTTTCCATTTTTTGTTCAGGTAGAGTGGGAGGGAGAGAGAGGAACAGAGAGAGAGAGAGAAACATCGATGTGAAAGGGACACATCGAGTGGTTGCCACCCGCACTACCAACCAGGGCCGGGGACAAACTGCAACTGAGGTACGCGCCCTTAGCGGGAACCGAACCCGGGTCTCTCAGGACCGCAGGCCGACGCTCTAACCACTGAGCCAAACCGGCCAGGGCTATGTTTCTTGTGTTTTTAAATTTACTTATTTGCATACTCATGTTTTCATTTTGGTCTCTAGGCGAGAAGGGGAATGAGAAAGCCGCTGGTCCATTAAAACTAAGTCTGGCCCTGGCTGGTTTGCCTCAGCAGTTAGAGCGTTGGCCCTCGAACCAAAGAGTTGCGGGTTCGATTCCAGTCAAGGGTACTTACCTTGGTTGTGGTTTGGTTCCCGGACCTGGTTGGGGTCGCATGGGAGGCGACCTGTCAATGTGTCTCTTTCACATTGATGTTTTCCTCTTTCTCTCTTCCTCCCATTCTGTCTGAAAATAAATGGAATTGTGTCCTTGGTGAGGATTTCAAAACAAACAAACAAAAGAACTAAGTCTGAGTTCTAGAATGTCTCCTCCACCCTCCTGCTGTTTTTTTAAAAATACGTTTTTATTGATTTTTTTAGAGAGAGAGGAAGGGAGAGAGAGATAGAAACATGGATGTGAGAAACATCCATCAGCTGTCTCCTGCGTGCCCCCTACTGGGATTCAAGCCCACAACTGGGGCATGTGCCCTGACTGGGAATTGGGACCTCTCAGTCCATGGGACGATGGGCTCAATCCACTGAGCCAAACCAGCTGGGTGTAAAAATTAGTTTTCTTTTTTGTTTTATTTTTCCTTATTGATTTTAGAGAGAGAGGAAGGGAGAGGGAGAGAGAGATAGAAACATTGATGAGAGCCCTGGCCAGTTTGTCTCAGTAGTTAGAGCATCTGCCTGCGGTCCAGAGAGACCCAGGTTTGGTTCCCACTAAGGGCATGTACCTCGGTTGCAGTTTGTCCCCGGCCCTGGTTGGGTTGTGGAGGTGGCAACCACTCGATGTGTCCCTTTCACGTTAATGTTTCTCTCTCTCTCTCTCTCTCTCCCCCTCTCACTCTATCTGAACAAAAACTGGAAAAATATCCTTGGGTGAGGATAAAAAAAAGAAGAGGTGAAACATTGATGAGAGAGAACATCGATTGTCTGCTTCCTGCATGCCCCTCATTGGGGATTGGGCCTACAACCTGGGCATGTGCCCTGATTGGGAATCGAACCAGCGACCTCTTGGTGGGTCTATGCTCAACCACTGAGCCACACTGGCTGGGAAAAATTGGTTTTCTTAAGAGACTTTTTGGAATCTCAGCCAGGACATAGTAAAGACATAGATAAGCAGACCATAAAACAGTACTTTGGATTCTATCCTTATCTTAAGAAAATTTTAAATAATGCATTGAAAATTAGAGTGGTCACACGTGATCTACCTATCCTAAAGGCAATAAGTTAAAAATATTTTCTCTCTTTGTCTTCTCTGGTTTTTTGTGTAATTTAATGTTCTACTAGGTTGCCGAACTACAGCTATTGTTGAAAAATGAGGCCTGGAGAGGAAGCAAGTTCCGAGTAATTTTTAGGAAAGGAGTGATGATGAGAGCTTAGATGGAAGAGGAAAATTATTTAGAGGTATAGAATTTTGGAGTGTTATCTGAGTAGGGTTGAGGGTGATGATGAGGTGTGCTTATCACATTGTAAACTCTAGAATATAAATTATTTATGTTCTGTGATGTCTAAAATAGGTATAATAGGTTCATGGCTAGTGAATTCATTTCTTTACAAAATTCTGCTTGTTAAGGAGAAAACTGCTACTGACAGATGAATTTAGAGATAACAATTTTTTGTAGACTTGGAGGAATGACAAGACAATTTGTTAATAAGATCACAGTCATCTAAGATGAAATTAGTCATCTTAGTTCATTTCCCTCTTGTAATACATGTTGTGCTAGTGTTTTGTTATTCTATCTATAATGTTTGAACTCTTGTTTTGAACTAGTGGGGAAGCTTTTGGATAGAGACATAAGAAAATAACACTTTTTAAGACATTTGAAATCCTGGAATAATTCGGGCTAATTTAATATGGTTCTTAATATATTTTTAAATATTATATTTAGAAGTAATTTCATGTGGAACAGTTGACAAAATAACTGTAAAAAATTTCCCTTCAGCCCGGCTGGTGTGGCTCAGTGGACTGAGCGTCATCCCATCGACTGAGAGGTCCTATATCAGTTCTCAGTCTGGGCACATGCCTGAGTTTCGGGCTTGATCCCCAGTAGGGGACATGCAGGAGGCAGCCAATCAGTGTATCTCTCTCACATCAGTATTTCTATCTCTCTCTCTAAAAAAATCAGTAAAACATATATTTAATTTAAAAAATAAAAGAGCCAAGCTGGTGTGGTTCACTGGTTGAGCATCAACCCACGCACCAAGAAGTTGCCAGTTCGATTCCTGATCAGGGCACATGCCCAGGTTGTGGGCTCCATCCCCAGTGGGGGGGCATGCAGGAGGTGGCCAATTGATGTTCTCTTTCATTGATATTTCTGTCTCTCTCTCCATCTCCCTTCCTCTCACTGAAATCAGTAAAGGAAAAATATTAAAAAAATGTTTTTCCCTTCAATTAGATTGTACTCTTCACATAGATTTCTTAAATGTTTACATTTACATTTGTATTATTATTTTCTCTATATATACACACTCAAAAATTTTTTTCTGAGACATTTGAGAATAGGTTATAAGACAGGATGCCCTTTTACAAAATAATTAAATATGTATTTTCTGAAGACAAGGATATTTTCTAATATAGCTATAGTACGGTTATAAAAATCAGTAAACTGACATAGAAGCAGTACTATTATTTGATCTACAGTTCTCACTCAAATTTTTCCATTTATCTCAGTAACGTCCTTTTAGTAAAAAACAGACTTTTGTTTTGGTTTCAGTAGGATTCATTTACTTGTTATGTCTCTTTAGTTTCCTCTAATCTGGAACAGTCCCTCAGTTTTTCTTTGTCTTTTAAAAACCTTGACATTTTTAGAATACAAACCAATTATTCTTCTAAATCTGGGTTTATTTCCTTATGATTAGACTCAGGCTATGAATTTTTGGTAGGAATACCATAAAAATGTATTCTTCTCAGTGAGTTATATCAGAAGGCATATGATGTAATTTGGTTTCAGTACTAGTGATATTATATATTTTAAAAGATTTTTTAATCTCCTAATAACTGATGTTTCAAGTAAGTGTTCATAGCCCTAAGATTTTTCTTTAAATTTTGGTTCTTGAGATTTGTTTATGAGTTGGAGACGAGAGAAGTATTTAAAAAATAAATTATATTAACTTTAAAAGTACTTAAAATATTTTATGGCAACAAATTTCACAAATTTGCTGATAAAGGCCTCTAGGGATTGAGACAAGCCCATTATGTGAATGTTGCCTTCAAACTCTTAACATGGTTCCTTGGGTAAATGAGAAGAATGAAATAAGAATCAACATGTAGATTGCCAAAAACTTTCTAATTTACAGTTCTTTCTGCTTACTGTTAAATTTAGCATCTGAATGAGTTGCTATAAATAAAGATTTTTTTTTTTTAGAGAGAGAGTAAGGGAGAGATAGAAACATCAATATGAGAAACATCGATTGACTGCCTCCTACTCGCCCCCTACTGGGGATCGAGCCCACAACCTGGGCATGTGCCCTGACCGGGAATTGAACCAGGGACTTCTCAGTCCATGGGAAGATTCTCAATTCAGTGAGCCACACTGACTGGGCGTAAATAATAATGATTCTTTATTTCATCTCTGTTTTTTATTCTCACCCAAGGATATTTTTCCATTTATCTTCGGATAGAGCTGGGTGGGGGTTGGGGGGTGGAGAGAAACATCAATGTGAGAGAGACACATTGACTGGCTGCCTCCCACAGGACCCCAGCCAGGCCAGGGATGAACTGCAGCTGAGGTACATGCCCTTGACTGGAGTCTAACCCGTGACTCATTGGTCCGTGGGCTGACACTCTAACCGCTGAGCCAAACTGTCCAGGGCAAACATTCTTTATTTTTATCTTATTTATTAGATTTCCTTATTTGTGGTAGTGGTTTGTTCCAGGTGGCAGGGAATAAGTATAGATTTATATATACTATTTTTCTTACAGCCTGTCATGTTGCTGAAACACAAGTATTTTTTT